CATGGAGCCAGAGGCCGGGAGGGGTGGACCCAGGGGTCCTTTATGCCTTCCCATCCTGGTTCTGAGTCATCACACGGGGCGTGGGGCCTCCATGGGGACAGCCCAGCCCCTGGTATCTTCACCTCAGAGGGATGTCCAGCTGTGGGTAAGAACCGTAACTCAGCATGACTCCGAATGGGAAAATGGGAGGCACAGGTGGGCTCTCAGCTTCCTGCTGCTCTTTCCGTACTGGGAATTCCTTATTTCATGGCACACTTCTGTTCAACCCCAAGCTGTCGAGACAACTAGCCTTCTGCCTTCTGTGACGGAAACAGGGGACTTGGCTGGGGACTCAAAACCTCCAGAGCACCAGGCAGACAGAGCATCCCTTTCCTTGGGAGGGACCTGGGCTCTTGATCTCTCATGAGATGGTGAGCGGACTGGATGAAAACGGGCATTGCCTGCTCAGTACCCTGAAAGTCACTGTGGCCCAAGTTCAGTAGTGTCTTTAAACCTATCCCATGCAGCCCATCCTCTCCCTCCTAGTGGACACCAATTGTGTCCCCCAGAAAATGTGTGTATCAATTTGGCTGGGTCATGATTCCCAGTATTGTATGACTGTGTACCTTTCTGTAATCTGATGTGATTTCCTTATGTGTTGTAAATTGAATCACTATGATCTCGTAAGATGGATTAGCGGCAGTTATACTGATGAGGTTTACAAGATTAGATAGTGTCTTAAGCCAATCTCTTTTGAGATACAAAAGAGAGAAGCGAGCAGAGACACATGGGAACCTCATACCACCAAGAAAGCAGTGCCGGGAGCAGAGCGTGTCCTCTGGACCTGCAGTTCCTGTGAAGAGAAGCTCCTAGACCAAGGGAAGATTGATGACATGGACCTTCCTCCAGAGCCCACAGAGAAAGCCTTCCCGTGGAGCTGACGCCCTAAATTTGGACTTGTAGTCTCCTGGACTGTGAGAGAATAAACTTGTCTTTGTTAAAGCCATCCACTCGTGTTTGTTAGAGCAGCACTAGATGACTAAGACAACACCCCTTCAGTGCCTGTCCAGCCATGCTGGGTGCAGCAGGCACAGAAATGGCGGTGCCATTGGTGGCCTCTCTACCGGTGCTCCAGCGTGCTGCCTGGCACCCAGAGATGTTCCCCTGTGAGTGGGAATCTGCAGGGGAGGGGCTGCTTGACCCCACAAGGCAGGCACGTCTAGACCTACCACAGGAGATGTAGGACCCCCTGGGAGAAGGACTAGGCTCTTCCCTAATTCTGACCCGTTCCCCAGCACTACATGTTGTCCTTCTGGGCTCCAACCCCAACCTCAGGCATCAGGGGCCACCACCCTTCTGGGTGCTGGAGACCTTAGTATGACAGGAAAGGGAGGGTCCTCCTCCTGGCACCTGTGCTGGGTTGCTCAGGTAATGCTCCTTTTCCTTTGTCTCCTACAGGCCTGAGTCAGCCGCTTGTCCCCATGTGAGTGGGCCAGGAGTTTCCTCTGACTGGGAAGGAAGGCTGGGGAAGTGTAGTTACCACTGACTCTCCTCTCCCACTTCATCCTCAGTGAGCAAAGTCTCCAATGTATGGGTGCCAGGGAAGGCACAGGCTCAGGCAGGTAAGCACAACTTTATCCCAAAGATCACTCATGTATACTGAGGCCACTCCTGAATAACGCGCCGTGCTCGGCGTCACCGTCAGCCTCTGAGAACCTGGGACGCCAGCCAAGCTTTTCTCTCTTCCTTGCTCATGTCTGCTCTCTGTAGGCACAGAAACTCCAACCACCACCCCGGGTTGGACCCTGCACAAGAATCCACTGATGCGCTGGTGAGCAGCACCATCGCAGTGCAAACGTGCGGAGGGCTGGCAGCTGGGAGACAGAAGGGCCCCTTCTGTCAGACTATGGTCTTAAACCCACGGTAACTAAGACACCCGCTCCCCCGGCCCCACTCTACGCCCATTCTCCATGACCGCTGCGAGACTTGGCTGCACAGCCCCCAAGTGACGGCTACAGGAGGCTCCAGCCCAGCTTGCGGAAGGGCGAGGTGGAAGGACGAGGAAGACCCACAGGTGGAAGGACGATGGGCCAGATGTCAGAGGGCATGTGAGCAAGAGGGTCCTAGAACAGTATCTCGTGCTGCAGAAGCATGAGTGAGTTAGCTGCTTGCAGACAGAAGGCCATGCCTGAGCCATTGCTAAATAAACCAGAGCTGATGCTCTCTCTCAGGAGGGTTATTTCAGTGCTCCTCCCGCAGGGACAGGCTGACTGCTGGGTCCCAGGTTGTCCTACTGGGGGGAAGACAGGGGATGGGAAGCAAGAAGTCTGTAGGCCATGCGTTCCCGTCACTCAACAGTGGCAAATGATGTGTTTTCCTATGAGTCCCTTATTTTGCAAATCCCAAGTTCCTTCCCCAAGAACATAGCTCCTGTTACAGGGCCTGCTTTAGGGCTGATAGCAGAGCCGGGTGCTGACCCCAGGGCCTTTCTCTCTTGTACCTGGAGCTGAGAACTATCACTGAATCTGCAGTGGCCAAAGAACGCCCAGCGGCTGGGTGTCCAGAGGTCCGTGCTGAGACACAGAGCGAAGATCTTCCGATGCAGCCTCTTGGCCCAGCCTGGGGGAGCTGGCTGACGGGCTGTTGGCGTTACACTCCTGTCAGCTGCCAGCATGACTCACTGGCTCCCGGTGTGGGTCTGAAATCTGGGTGGGACACAAGCAAATGTTTGTTCAACTGACTAGAGGAGTCAGGACTCAGCGCTGCCTCCGCAGGGGACTTCGATGAGAAGAGGCCAGACAGCCACGGGGTGATCTTGCCAGGAATTAGGAAAGTGGCGCCTGAACTGAGACGGAAAAACAAGGGGAATTTAAGCCGCTGCTTAGACTCTCATAGATTCAGACTATTGGAAAAGGGGTTTCACCTCCCCTCAAAGCTGTCTTGGGGCTGAGGTTTAAGGGGGGAAAGAAAAACCCCGTTGCTGTCGAGTCGATTCTGACTCATGACGACTCCACAGAACAGAACTCAGCTCCATAGGGTGTCCGGGCTGTAGGCCTTATGGCAGATCCCAGGCCTTTCTTCTGTGGTGTGGCTGGGTGGGTTCAGACTGCCAGCCTTTAGGTTAGCAGTCGTGAACCAACCGTGCCACCCAGAGACCTGAGATTCAAGGAAGGCTTATTTAAACATGGGGAATAAAGTGTAAAGAGCCGCGCCCATTGGCTTTCTTATAAAAGAAGCCCAGATCCTTCCGTTTTTCAGGCAGCAGAACAAATCTTCTTGAGGATAATTTCGCCACTGGAGTTGCTCAGGTGAGTGGAGAAAACAGACAACGTGTGAGAAGTGGCCGCTTCTCCTGTTTTCTTCTCTCTTCCCCCGTGTCTCTCCCACCGCCCCTCTTCCTGCCAAAGAAATGCCAGGTTACCCTGAGGGGCTCTGCCTGCTGCAACACAGCTCCCTGCACGGTGTTTTCCCAGCCTCCCCCACCAAAACACCGCTGTCCCCGATCCTGTTTCTTCACGGCCTGGATCTCTGCAATCAGAACAGACGGATTAATTCTTTGGCTCTGGGTGTGCATAGGGGGTTTAAAGGGCAGGGCAGGGAGGAGGTGCCAGAGGAAGACACACACTCACCCCGCTCACCAACTATGAGCAGCCTTATACGCACCAGGAGGATGTGAGTATCTCCGTATTCACTTGCTACTTCACATGAAAGCAGCATTCTCTTTTAATATAAAATCATATCAACCAAATAAAACTTGTCAAAGCTACATCATTTAAAATATGTACAATTTCAAACACAATATTACAACCTTGAGGACAATAAAATGTACTTTTCTATGTGATATAAAACATGCATCTCAAAGCCACTGCTTTAAAAGAGCAACACGGGTGAAATTCGATTCTAAAATTCGCTTCGTGGCAGATCTGCCGCTGGAATGAGATGGGTAGCATGATCCATCATGCACGGACGCACTGGTCTTCATAAATGGGTTTCACAAAAACAAAATCCATAAAGAAATGCCTTTTTAAAAGACCACTTCAAAGGGTTTCAAACATTGCAACTGAGCTTGGATCCCGAACAGCACCCATCAGCAGACTACCAGTGTGTGACCAAATGGGGGAAGGATATGGGGTAGGATGTAAGGGGAGGAGGGCAAGTTCCACACTGAAACAAAAATCACAAATGTCTAAGACTCCAAGGAGCACCAGGAGGCCTGACCAATTACACAATCACTGAGCAGAATGAAGACGGGTTCCCTGCCAGGGTGGTGGTCAGGGGGTCATGAAGAAATGTGGGCTCTTGGAAGACAAAGTAACAAGCCAATAGCTCTCTCTGCCAGTGTGGGACAGAGGGCAGCTTCTCTGGCTGTGGAGTGACAGCCCCATGGGAACTCTACAGCGGGAGTGGACATGGCACACACAACTGGACTTGTCCCACCCAAACGGAAAGAGGACAGATGACGGCTCCAGATAAGGTGGGTTCAAATTCAGGCTCTGTGGCTCATGAGGGCACTTGGGAATTTGAATGCCTACTCCGCTCAGCAGATCTGCTGTGAGTGTTAAATGAGAAAACAATTAACAAGCACCCAGTGCAGTGCCTGGTACACAGCGGTCACCCAACAAATGTTAGTTCCGTCTCTACAACACTGTACCACATCCTCTTATTTTCTGCTGACGTGACATTAGGTGGGACTATTTTTGGGGACCGTGCAGGACGTCAAAGTTTAGAACAGCTCATTGGCTGGGGAGAGCTCATACTTCCTAACCACAAGGCAAATATCTATATATATACACACATATATGTGTATATATATATATATATATATATCAATATATAGAGGCATTTTTATAAATAAAATACAATAAAAGGATAACACTTAAAACAGCGTTACTAACAATATAAATAAAGCAGTCCGCAATGAGGTTGCCCTAAAGGTAAAGAAGTCGCTTTCTCTGCCTTGTGGACAAATCCCATATTCAGACTCAATCTTTGAAAGCAGTTTATGACCTAAGGCTCCTGCTAATACCCCTGCTGCCTGCATCCAAATGACTGAGTGCCAGCATTCACTCCCCAGTCCTCTAAACTCCCTCCGGGGCAGCACTGCTGGGACTGGACCGGCCAACACTGGGTCTGGTTTCCCATTCTGTGTCCTAGGACTTCGTCCTTCGCTCGTCACAGGAATAAGGTGTGCAGCTATCCTCCTCCAAAGCTAACTGCATCGAAGCAATGTGAAGAATGAAGCCAGCAGACTACAGGCACAGACATCCGGAAGGCAGAATGTGCTTCCACAGCATCCCTGACATCCTTCTATGAAACCATATTCAGTCCATTCTACTACTGGAAGTAACTCTTACACAGTGACCCAGCTTAAACAGCACATTTTCACTAACAGTTCTAGTTATAAAATATATAGGCATATGTAAGGGAATACTGATGTGCTTATACAGAGGACCGATTAACATAGTATTCTATTCTATCCCACGGCAACTTCTGGGAAACTAACCTTTTTTTTCCACTTACGCTGTGACTGCTCGACTACGTAAAGAACGTTTTCTTTCTTTCCCAAACGGACGCACAGCCCAAAAGGGGCAGTGATCACGAAAGCTTGACCTAGCCATTAAACACACTTAGAGTGGTTTTCTAAATGTGGAGGAAAAAAGCCTTCCAAAGGCGGCTGGAAGTGTCCTTGTCACTCAGAGGCAGCAGTGGCTATGATTTGTGACCTCTGCTGACTGAAGCTTTAGATGCCTGTCTACAAACTTCAAACACCCATCCCCCTTTCCCTCCAAACAAAGTCTTTTCTGACAGTCACATCTTTCAGGCTGTTGTCCGCACGGGAAGCTAGAAAATGACTCTTTTCATGTGGTATCATGAACACAATCCTATACTGATGGAATACGCTAGAGAGCTTCTACCAGGATGGAATCCTTGGAATCCTCCCCTGTCTTCTTAAAACGGCTATCTTTCTCAAGGACCACTTTAAAATCTTATTTTGCTCCTAGTCTTAGAGTCGAAAGGAGCCCCATGGGGACCATCCTATAAACTAATTTCTAGTAGTTGGACATACTTTCCTCTCTGGCCTTGGTTCCCTTTCCGCATACTGCCATAGTTCAACTAGACCTGAAACTCAGCCACGTCCATAACACTATTTTTGATCAGTGCCTAGAAAATTGAGCCTAATTTGTGGCCAGCTGCAGACAGAGGGTAAGTCAACAGGTCACATTATCATGTTTGTGGAAGGCACTGTTATAAAAATGCATAAGTCAGATCTGCTATTACAAACGTTAGGTTACAACCGTGGATCATTTTAAAATGTTCTCAGAGAGTCTGACAACACAGTATTGAGAGACAACTTCCCGTCTGAAAACCTGACTGGGCAAGGCAATCCCCTCTTGGCTGAACAGGCCAACAGGCTGAATCCGTTGCCCAAATAGTTCTTACTGTCACTGAGGTTCCTGGAAGACATGGGATGATCCACTGCTCTCTACGTGGCTGAAAACTATGCAAAACACGGCTGCTTCCTAATGAGGACGGGAAGGAATTTTTAAAGGCATAAATAATATAAAAGGCAAACATTTTACGATACATTCATATGACATTCTACTACAAAAAATAAATAACGGTTTTCTCTGATTTGAATTAAGGTCCTTCACACAGTTTATCCCCATGCCAGTTTCGTGCGGTTACTGGCTTCATGGGGGAGCAGGACTAGACGTCTGCCCATCCTCAGGTCTCCTGGGGTTGTTGAAGGACCCCTGAAGGGTTGTCCAGAGGAATGCCAGGAGGAGACCATGCTGTCTTTTTAGTACAGTCCTTTGAGACAGGTGGTAAAATAAGAGGATTCCAACTTAAAATTGTGTTCTCTGTTTCTGAACAGACACAGCTGTCTCCTGAAAAACAGAAAGGTTTAAGAGGCTTATGAAATGATAAAGCTGATTTTTACAAAGCAATCGAAAATCATTACCTAGATCAATAAGGAAAGAATAATGAGAAAATGCAAAGCCCAGCTGAGTTTTGTTCCAATTTGAGGGAGACAGTAGGTTTGAAAGGTTTAAAAGTTGGGCTCTCATTAACAGTTATACAATTCATCTGAGAATCAAAAGACAAAACAAAACAAAACCTTTAAAATCTCCAAAATAACCACCTTAAAGAAAGGTACAGCTCCAAAACCAACTCAAATGGAAAAGGAGCCCATGATCACAAAACGTAATCCTCCAGCAAGTGTTCTGTTCAGGTACAAACTGAATCAAACTCTAGTTGGATTTATTTTCCAAAATGTAATGGGGTTAATAACCTGAGATGAGAGATGTGCATAATAACAGAATTTCAAAGAATCCTTTATCTAGCCATCCTTCCCTGAAGTACCCAATACTCTCCACCCAGTGTCTTTAAGAAATATGTGATTTGACCTCAGAGAGAAAACTCTGAAAGCTGCATCTTCCCTTATACCTTACAGTTTTTAGTTAGCTGGAGACTATCTAGAAACTCAAGATTTACAATGCCTCTCCTGTACCTCTGTTGAACTCTGCTGGATCTTCTGTGCAACCAGAGTTGATCTCATTTATATTGTCCTGGCAGCAAGCATGCTGGGTAGGTATTGGTGCCACGTTGTCCTTGATGCTCTCCTGGGATAACTGGCCACAACTGGGGACTGTGGAAGCCAGACACACAGGCATCTTCACATGACTGAGGGGCTTCATTTCCAAACCGTCCTGAGGATAAGGTGCACCCACCGGGACCAAAGGAAGGGGGCTGTTGCTGAAAGTGCTATTGGTTTTGGTGAAACATCTACAAAGTGTAAACACAAAGAAACAGAATTGTGTCTAGAGGGATCAATATGTTCAAATAAGCTTATCTTGAAATATCATTTGGTATTTTGCATTTACAGACTCTTAAGAAAGACTGATGCTTAAAAACTAAATGATTCACTAGGATTTGAAATATCAAGAACTCAAAAATTACAATTAATGTGGAACACAACAGAATGCATCAAAAGGCAAACCACTTAAGTATGGAACCATATATGATGACCTATCCCACACACTTCCTTTGTCTTAGTCCACTGTCAGAAGTTGTTCCCCATTTCACAATTAACTGGCTCTCACATATAGCACACAGATGGAAAAGGCCATTAGCCACTGGAACGAAAGAGGAAGAAAAGGACAGAAAGCTCAGAAACTTGTGGTCACATGAAATAACTGACCTTATGAGAGCCAACAAAAACACACTTTGAAATCAGAGAATATGCTCCCTCCTACCCTTGCAGGAAATACCACACGCATTAGACATTAGAAATCCAGGTTTTATTTTTTATTTTCCATTTTTTTTCTTTGCAGAATCAATTGCTAGAATTTATTATCACTGAGCATTCATTTCAGTTCTTCCCTTTAACTTCCTTCCTTTACTAAGGCAAGTGTTTTCTTCATTTTTTTTTTTCTTCCAGTTCTTCAGACTGGATAATTTCTACCTATCTATCTTGTAGTTCATTGATTCCTTCTTTTGTTGTCTCCAACCTGCTGGTAATCTCATCCAGTAAAATTTCCATTTCAGTTATTGTACTTTTCACCTCAAGAATTTCCATTTGGTCTTATTTATAGTTTCTATTCCTCAGCTGAAATTCCCCATGTGTTCATTCATTGTGTGTATATCTTCCTTTAAGTCCTTGAACATATTTATAACAGCTGCTTTAAAGTCACTGTCTGTTAATTGTGACATCTAGGTCATCTCAGGGTCCATTTCTATTGATTTTTTTCCCCTTGAGTAAGCATCACATTTTCCTGTTTCTTCATATGTCAAGTAAATTTTTTTTTTAATTGGATTTTTCTCCTAATTTCCTGGTTGTTCTGTCAGTCCTGAACTCAGTCCTCTGACACCTTCCCCAAGATTAGAGAAATGCCCTCAGGCAAATACCCACAAACTCACAAATATCACCCATTTCCTTTCAAGTTTCTTGAAACTGGGCTCTCATCCAGTTTCTGCCTGCTTCTGGTTACTCTCCAATATTTCCAAGCTGACCAGATTTTATAATTATTATCTGTGGGCAAGTTAAGCTATTCCACCATTACCAGAAGGAGTAAGAAAAGTTTGGAAACGACATTGCATGTTTTTTATTTGGTCTTGTTAGACAGGAACTACACAGGACAGACCAGTGGTATGCTAGAACTAGATGAGGTTAGGAAATAAAGATAAGAATTCTCTGTGTCGCTCCTGGAGGTCAACCTATGGCTGTCTTCAGTGTTAGATAAAGCCCATGGGACAATGGGAAGCACAGCACAGTAAGTAATTACCACAATCTCCCGATGGTGATGGTGTAAAACAAACCTGGCTTGATGTTCCATTTCTCTGCAAGAATTCTGAAGTAATACAAAGGTACTAGAAACCTACATTTAAAAGTCAAAAAAGCATCAGTTTGGAAAGGAAATTTTTCATTCAAAAGAAGTAAAATTAAGCTGTAGAAAAAAATACACTTGCCAGAATTTGAAAAACTAGGGGAGTTCCCTAAAAACAAAATGTTATAAGTCGATAACTTGTTTATTTAGCTCTAACATGATGAAATTTCAGGTCGACATAACAGAATAAGGAGGTTGCACCAGACAACGTGATGCCTTAAATCCTCTGCTTCTTTCCTTTCCTTTGCTTTTTTTCTGCTCATTTCTTGAATTTATTTAAAGTGAAGTTCTAAGATAAAAATTTTAAATGAAGTCTAAGTGCAGCCTAACAGCCTGACTGTGAACTCCCTTTGTCAGAAGGATAGCGAGGGTAAATCAGATCGGATGGAGCTGAAGGAGTTGGTGCAGAAAGAAGAGCAAAGGCCAACTACAAGGTCTGGGAATTAGTGTGCTGACAGAGTCACCCAGATTTATGTGTCAGCAGTAAACAAGCATATTACATACATGTGTTTTTAAAAAAAATTACAGACATTTAGCAAGAGAAACGTATGATTTCCTATTACCTATTCTTTAGCAGAAGCCCTGGTGGCGCAGTGGTTGACAGCTATGGTTGCTAACCAAAAGGTCGGCAGTTTGAATTCACCAGCCGCTCCTTGAAAATCCTATGTAGTGGTTCTACTCTGTCCTACAGGGTTGCTATGAGTCGGAATCGACTTGATGGCAACAGGTTTGGTTTTTTTTTTTTTTTTTTTTTTTGGTTTTATTCTTTAGCATGTGTCTTTTCAGACAAGAGAAACAGAAAATCATACCAGTGTCTACATCTACTCTGAACTGTGATTCTCAATGGAGTGGTGCTGATAGTAAAATCATAATTTGGGTTAGATTTTTAAAACGATTACAACCCAAATCTCAACATGACAAACCAAACTGATCTAAAATTTTTCTAGCACACTGCATCTTAACTGATAAATTAACCACGTCCCATAACCAAACTCACTGCCAAGTCCATTCCCACTCACAGCGACCCTACAGGACAGAGAAGAACTGCCCATACCTTTTCTAAGGCTGTACTCTTTAGGGAAGCAGACCGCCACATCTTCCTCTCACGGAGCAGCTGGTGGGTCTGAACTGCCAACCTTTCAGTTAGCAGTGAGCACTTAACCACTAGGCACCAGAGCTCCTTAATTAACCACTTAGATAATTAAATACTATAAATAATATTAAACAAATAATAAATACTTCAAATTATTTTTAGTTCAATCCCAGATGTCTTCATGTGCTACCATAAAAGTGGCTTTAAAATCCCAAACCAAACCCATTGCCGTCAAGTCAGTTCCAACTCAGCGACCCTAGTAGAACTGCCTATCGGGTTTCCTAGGCTGTAAATCTTTATGAAAACAGACCACCGCATGTTTCTCCCTCAGTGGGTTCAAACTGCCGAGCTTTTAGTTAGCAGCCGTGTGTTTAACCACTGCGCCACCAGGCTTTAGCGGCTGATATAAAATAGCTTCAACGTGGTTGATATAAAAAGAATACAATATTTGTTCAGTATGGCACGTGAAAACAATTCTTTCGATGATAATGCTTTAATTAAAATTTCTTGAGACGGATAAAAGTCTGATTATGAGACTTGAATCTACAGGCAGTGAAAGAGAGAACAGATATCTGCAAACATATGACATTTAATCAGATACCCTTACAATGTCTATTTTACAGTTTATACAATACAAATGGTTTGTAATTCCATTATCTTAAGCTTCTCAAATAGTCTTTCAATTGCAGTTATTATTGGCTTAAGGTGGACTGAAAGTTTTCACTGAGCTGTCTCTCCATGAAACAACCTAAGTTTAAAAACACTGAGTAAATGAAACTCTGTGCCTCTTGCCATATATAAATCTGTACTGTTCTGCAGGAACTCAGGCAATCTGGGACCCTTTGGTTTACTGAAATACCTTTAGTAAACAGGAGAGGGCTGTTCGACCAACCTGTATAACAGGAAAATAACACTGAAAATGACTCTATTATGGTATCATAAAAATAAAATACTCTTCACCTCACAAGCTGAGCAGCACAGACTAAGAAGCAAGCAATTGAGACAGACGTGTAGGGTCGTGGCGGGCAGAACAAGGTACTTTGGTACTTGACGAAACACATTTGTGGACTTTCCTGTAAAACTACACAGCACCACCCCCACATTACTGGCTCTAACAAACAAACAGAAAATAACAAAACGTTGGAGAGGTTGCAGGGAGACTGGAACTCTTATGCACTGCTGGTGGGAATGTAAAATGGTACAACCACTATGGAAAATGATATGCTGCCTCCTTAAAAAGCGAGAAATAGAAATTCCATATGATCCAGCAATCCCACTCCTAGGATTATATCCTAGAGAAATAAGAGCCACCACAGGAACAGGCATATGTACACCTGTGTTCACTGCAGCATTATTAACAATAGCAAAGAGATGGAAACAACCTAAGTGGCCATCAACAGACAAATGGATAAACAAATTATGGTACATACACACAATGGAATACTATGCAATGATAAAGAACAGTGATGAATTCACGAAACTCTTAGAACATGGATGAATCTGGAGGGTATTATGCTGAATGAAATAAGTCAATCATAAATGACTAAATATTGTATTAGACCACTATTATAAAAACCCAAGAAAAGGTTTACACACAGAAAAAAAAATCTTTGATGGTAACGAGGGAGGGGAAAGATGGGGAGGGGAGATCACTGACTAGATAGTAGTAAGTTAACTTTGGTGAAGGGAAAGACAACACACAATATAGGGGAAGTCAGCACAACTTGACCAAGGCAAAGTCAAAGAAGCTTCCTAGACACACCCAAACACCTTGAGGAACCCAGTTACTGGGGCTGAGGGCTGGAGACCATGGTCTCAGGGCACATCTAGGTCAAATGGCATAACTATTTATAAAGGAGATAGTTTACGTGTTACTTTGGTAGCAGCGTCTGGGGTCTTAAAAGCTTGTAAGCAGGCATCTAAAAGACATCGATTGGTCCCATCACGTTTGGAGCAAAGGAGAATGAAGAACCCAAGGTAGAACGGGAAACTGGGGGGAGAGTGCTGACACATTGTGGGTACTGCAGTCAATGTTACAAAACAATTTGTGTATACATTTTTGAACGAAAAACTAATTTACGCTGTAAACTTTCACCTAAAGCATAATAAAATTTAAAAAAAAACCTATATAGCACCTTTTAAATATTTTCTAGAGAAGTATTCCATTTCTGGTTACATAGTTTAATATTTGTTAAGCATAAGTATGTGCAAAATTGCACCGATTAGATGATTGTATATATTGTGCACCAAGTTTCCCTTCTGATTATCCCTGGAGGGCAAGGACTAACTATGAAGCTCTTGGCTGT